CTGGCACTGCTGTGGCCTCACAAGTGTATCTGAATCCATCCATTGTAACTGGACATGTGTCCTGATTCACTGATGCCTGTCTTAAACCAGTTGTTGAATATTTTGAGAATCACTTTTGGAACTAGGTGTTTATGAAATTGTCGAGGGCTTAAGGAGCAGGATTGCAGAGTGATACCACATAAGTGACCTGCCAGGGAAGCTGTTTCCTCTGTTTCCACTCAGGAAAGTGGGAAATGAGGAGACAGCCATTGGGATTATTGAACTTGACAACTCACTCTTTGGAGCACTAGTCAGCAACAAAAAGGAACAAACTGTCAAAACATGCTGCATCACGGATGAAATTCAAAAAAGTGCTAATTGGTAGAAGCCAGGAACAAGAAACCACATATTGAATAATTCTATATGTACTAAATGTCTAGGAAAGACAGATTGATGGAGAAAAAGTAGTAAGTGGCTGCCTGGGGCTGATGGTAGGGAGAGAGATTCATTGTAAGCATTACCCTACTGGGGGTCTGAAAATGTTTTTAAAAAATTACTAAAAATCATTGAACTGTATGCCTGCAATTCAGGGTAATTTTTACATGTAAAACATATGCCTAATAAAGTTGTTTTAGAAGGAAAAGAAAAAGAAAAAAACCATACTGGTAAAGCTGTGAAGCTGGACAGAAAGCTGCTATCCATAACTGACTCTAGATACTTCCAAAGCTAGGGTTTGGATACCAGAAAGCTGTTGCAGAAACATCACACCTCACTATAGCCCTGCTTTTCAGCAGGAGTAGTCAAAGCAGCCTTCCAAGTCTCACATGAAAGCGTCCATGTGGAGAACTTACTGTGGAATCCAAGACTCTAGCTGCAAGGGAGTCTGAGAAATATAGTCTTTGCTTTCCAACCTCCACAGTGCAGGAAGACACATAGAAGGGAACACAGGTAATATAAAAAGTAGGAGAGAAGAAGGCTCTAGAAGTGCCTGGGTGGCTCAATAGGTTAAGTGTCTGACTTCGGCTCAGGTCATAATCTCATGGTTTATGGGTCTGACAACCGCGTCCCCGCCCCCCCACCCGCCCGTCTGGCTCCACACTGAGCATGAAACTTGCCGTGAGATTCTCTTTCCCCCTGTGTCCCTCCCCAGCGCCCTCTCTCTCTCTAATAAAAAAAAATAATGAAATTTAAAAAAGAGTACTTTTCCTAATGTTTGGCCCCAGAGGAAGTGCTCAGGAATTTTTTTTTTCTTTCATCCTTCAAAGCTGTCCCTTCCCCCCAAGGAAGCCTTCCCTGATTCCACTCCAAACCACACTGCTTTCTTACACATCCAAACCATGGTGGTCTGAGTCCCTGTGTGGGGACTGGACTGAACTAGGGAGAGAGAGGGAGGACTGGATAAGGCACAAAGCCTGGATGAGTCACATCCCCTTCAGGGCTAGAGGACAAGGTGGAAGAGGAAAGGGAGGATCCAAAATACCTCAGATTTCAGATGTTAGCAACTCCAATAACACATTATTTCTTCCCACTAAGCCTTTGTTAAAGCTCTTTTCTTCTGCCTGAAATGTCTTTCCTTTTGTTTATCCTTTGACTCAGCTTGGATGCTTCCCCCTCCGGGAAGCCTGTTCACCCAATGACCCCTCATCTGTGCTCCCCTTGCATGCTTTGCTCACCAAAATCAACACTTCTTACCCTAAATGGCCATCATCTGTTTGCTTGTCTGTCTCTTCACTGGCAAGGGAGCCCCTTAAGGGCAGGGATCCCCAGGAAGTTAGGCTGGGGGACCTAAGATAGAAGTAACCTGAAGCTTTCCACATCCACTCAGTGAAGCACCGATTTCATGCTGGGCCCTGATCTAAGCAGCTTCAATAAAGGCAGACATATGTGAGAAAGGAAAGATGGGAAGGATTTCAGTGGAGAGAGACCAAGGGAGGAGGCATCTGTGTTAGTCAGGATTGGCTAAGTCAGCCGCGGTAACAAATAAACCCTGAAATCTCAGTGACTTAATATGAGTTTATTTCTCACACGTGAGAAGTCTGATGTGGGTATGCAGCGTCTAACTTCTACCTTGTGACTCTGGGGTCTAGAATCCTCCCATCATGTGTTCTGCCATCTCAACATGTGGCCCCCCCCAGGCTTCTAAGGCAGGAAGAAAGGGGTAAGGGAGACTCATGGGCTCTAACTGCCTCAGCTGGGGAGTGACACCTGTCTGCTCACAGCTCATTGGCCAGGGCTAGTCATGACTTCACCCCAAGTGCAAGGGAGGCTGGGGGAGTTTAGGGAAGCATGTGGAGCATCTCTGTCTCAGCATCCTAAGCTGGGCAAAAGGCACCAGTATAAGAGTGGGAAGGAGAGGGAGTATTTGGGGGAGCAGCACATAGACCCATAAAGCTCCAGTTCCTGGCATGGACTCATAATAAAGGGCCCGTAACTGATTTTTGTTTTTAAATGTGTTTTGTTTTGTTTTACTTTGTGTGTGTGTGTGATTGGAGAATGAATGAAAGAAAGAGTAAATTGTTCTGCAAGGTTCAGTTTTGAGTCCCTCAGGTCCTGGAGCGCTAGAGCTCAAAATGCTGTTTATCAATGGTCTACTTGGGGCCACACACTGTGCAAGGACTGTACGCATATTACTGCATCCCATTTACTTCTTAGAAAAACTCTGAGGGAGGCGTAGGGATTGCTGTGCCCATATTACAGATGAGAAGACTGAGGCTCCAACTAGTTTAATCATCTGTCCAGGACTGAAGCCAATGCCCGATCCTTTCCATCATGTGCATTGGTACAATCACTCACAGGAGCAGAGGGAAAAACCTTAAATGGCTAGGAGGTGGGTTTCTCACACTCTTCAAGTCTTCCCATATCTGAGGAGGAAACACCACCTCCCACGTCAATCAAATTTGGAAGCGGAAGAGGGTAGAGTATATCCTTGGTCAAGGGCTCCACTTATTCAGCTCAACTTTCTTCAACTGCATGGACATGGTAACTGTCCTGGGGTGGTCACAAGATTCACTGAGAAAGTGTCTATAAGCACTGAGCACCAAGGAAGTACTGTATCAGTGGTCCACATTGCCTCTATTAGGGCACTCACCTTTCAGAGGGGTACTGTGAGCAGAGGGAATGTTATTAGGGCCCCACTTGCCCTGATGGTGACAACTGGTGTTTTAAGGTTGTCTTAAGACCTTCCAGAGGAAGGCAGCCCAGTGGGGTGGAAAGTCAGGCATAAAGGAAGGCCAGCCCTACATGCTTCATGCACCCTGGGGCAAGACACTAGTCTCTGTGTTGGTTCTTTCATCTGAAAGTGAGAAAAATCCACAAATCCATCAAATACTTAATGTTTCAGAGGGCTTTGGGGAATAATATTGGAGATGTGGGTGTGCATGCATCTAATAAACCACAAGTCTTCCTCTGTCCCGACCACACCTGAACCATGTGTCCCCCAAGGAGAGGAGCTGGAGCTCAGATACCCTTCTAGCCCCCTCCTTCCACTGCCCAAGAAAGTGACCAAAAGCTGTTTTGCAGAAAAGCCGAATAGCTCATCCATCCACCAAACAAATGGCGGTCTAATTCAGAGTCTAAGGCCTGAGAAAATTTGGGAATTCAGTTTGTTTGTTTGTTTTTAAGTGTTTTTATTTTGAGAGTGAGAGACAGAGCTAGCTGGGGAGGGGCAGAGAGAGGAAGAGAAAGAATCCCAAGGAGGCTCTGTTCTGTCAGCGAGGAGTCTGATCCCACAAACCGTGAGATCATGACCTGAACCAAAATCAAGAGTCGGAGGCTTAACTGCTTAACCAACTAAGCCACCCTGGTACCCCTCGGAGGCCAGTTTAAATCAGAGGTTGCAAACCAGCAGTGAGTGGGCCAAACTCAGCTTCAGACAAGTTACTTAGCCTTTCTGTACCTTGGTTTCTTCATCAGGAAAATGGGCATAATAATAGTAATACTACCTAGAGGGATTATTGTGTGGACTAAAAGAATTAATATAGGGAAGCTCAGCTGGCTCAGTCGGAGGAGTCTGCAGCTCCCAATCTCAGGGTTGGGAGTTCAAGCCCTACGTTGGGTGTAGAAATTACTTAAAAAAATAAAACACTAAAAAAAAAGAAAAGAATTAGTATATGTAAATTGCTCAGGACAGTGACTGACACATAACAAGTGTTGTGTATACGTTGTTGTTATTATTTGATTCACATGATGTTCAAGTTTTTGGATTTAAGTGTCTCCACTTAGCTGGCCTCTTCATTTTGCCCCAGTCCCTCTTGTCCTGCACCCGGCTTGCTTTCCTGCCCAGGCCCAGAAGGCTGCTAGTTTGAGTTCCCAACCACAGCCTAGTCCTATGTCCTCATTGTCTCTGCTGGATGACACAGATTGTTGATTCTTGCCATTGAACCATGACGATTACAAGTCCTGATGCCTTCTCAACAGAACTGAGGAGCCTTAATCCTGTCCCCCTCAATGCTAGAAAGAGAAACCCCACACCAGCTGAGAAAAAACTAGAGCCACAGAGCTCCAAGATTATCTGGATGCATGTTTTATTATCATTCAGATGATGATCACGGACCAGGGGAAGGCGGCTAGAGGGTTATATACAAGTTCAGCATTCAGGGCTGTTTACATACACCCGCACATCTTTATTCCCACAACCGCCACACAGCACAGCACAGGATGCCTCCACCTGTCATCATTCCCAAGCAGAACATAGCCATGGGTCAGGGCTCTGCACACCCACAAAAAGGAGGCCCAAGAAGCAGAGGAGACCCCCAGTTCTGGAGGTAAATAAAGTTGACGTGTGGCAAATCTTGACTCATGGAGCAGGGGACAGAAACTGGATTTGGACATCACATCTTCAGTCCCACCCTGACCTCACTGGCTGCTGGACCCAGTCACCCTGCTCCTCTCTGGGGATCCCTTAAAAGACACAGAAGGGTCATTTTTAGCCAGGGCTAAGGAAGGGGAGCAGCCTGTGGGGGTGCGGGGAGAGGGACTCTGGGATCTGTCCCCTGCCAACAGGGCAAAGTGGGGAAATCCAGGGGGAACAAGGCCAGGGAACTGGGTGTTGTACACACAGGGGGCTCGGGTTTATGGTCAGGGATCTAAGGAGGAGGGAAAGAAGGGGTCACAAAGGGAATAGGACCCACAGGACTTAAGACATTCTTAGACCCCAAACTTGATAGGAAGCTGGGTTCACTCCTCCAGGGGCTCCCTGGCCCAGGCCGCCCGCCGCCCAGGATGCTGCCGCTTCTCCTCAGCCCCCTGACCCCTGCTCAGGTCATCCAGGAGCCCCAGCAGGAGGCTGGCTTGACCACAGGCTCCCTGAGGCTCACATGGGCCTCCCAGAGCCCTCTTGCCCGGATGTTGGCGTTTCTCAGGCATCAGCTCTCCCTCCTCCACCTCCTCTTCCTCTTCTTCCCAGCTCCTTTGGGCCTTGGGATCCGCCAGCCGTCTGCCTGGGTGCTGCCTCTTGGTGAAAGTGTACCCAAGCCAGGAGGAGCGCCGGCCAGGGTGCTGCCGCTTCTGCTGGGTTACCTCTGACCATGCAGCCACATCCTCCCGCCGGCCAGGGTGCTGCCGCTTGTGGGGGCCCATGGCCCCTCCTTCTTCTTCCTCTTCAACTCCGTCTTCTGCCTCCTCCTCCTCCCTTTTGCCAGGATGCTGACGCTTGGAGAGCCAGTCGGGTTGAATGATCTGGGACTCTGGGGAAGGAAAGGGGCCAGTGAGGGACCTCCTGACCCCCAAGTGCTCACTCCAGCCTTGCTCCTACTTAAGGCAGATTCCCTGCAGCACTCATCCAGAGTCACAGCCTTGTACAGCCTCTTAGACATCACAGATGGTCAAAGGCATGACCTCTGGTTCTAGTCCTAGCTCTGCCACCCCCTAGCTGTGTGACCATAAGCAACTTACTTAACTTCCTGAGCCTCAGTTTTCTTCTGTGTAAAATGAGTAATAACAGTATCAGTCTAAGAGCTTGTTAGGATGATTAAATAGTGTGATAAAGTGTTTGAAGGGCTTAGAACAGTGCCTGGCATATACGAGTCTAATAAGTAGTAATTAAAACTGTCACATACAGAGAGACTTTTTCTCTATCGCCTGCACAGAATCTTCCCCACTGGAAGCCTGCTCTCTGTAAAACATTCCCAGGATGGGCATGGAATAGAAATCTGATCTCAGAAAAAGGTCAGCTCATGATCCTGCGGAGGTTATGGCCAACAGTTTCTAAGCTTCTGAAAGGCAAGAGTTTGGATGACCAAGTTGCTCCCCACCTCTGCATCTGGGTTTCCCCTAACCCTCTTGCGGGCCTCTGGTAGGAAGGACAGACCCACCCCTCACCTGATTCTCCATCGTCCTGATTCCCTCGCAGACGCAGGAGGTCTTCCTGGAGGAGGAGGAGGCGCTCTGCCTGGCGCAAGAGGTCGTCCAGGCCTGCGTGCTCACCGGCCTCGTGCTGGGCCACCTCCGGCTGGGCGCGGCCTCCCGGAATACCAGCCACGGTCAAGGTCAACGCCAAGGCGAGCAGCAACCAAGGGCCAGGCATTTCGGGGCCTAGGATTGGGAGTACAGAGAGTATAAGCGGGCCGTGCCCCTCTTCCAGCCCTCCACCACCTCCCCCTTTCCTGTCCCAGCAGGTCCCCAAGGTGGGTAACAAATTCAAACACCCTCCTGCGGCCAGGACCACCTGCTACCTTAGGGTGGGGTAGGGGCAGCCTCAGGCTCTGAGTGTCCTCACCCACAGAGATGCTTGGAGTACCTGCCCGCGCCCAGTTGTGCCTACGCGAGCCTGGAAGCCGTGGGAACCCCATCGCCACCGCCACTCCTCAGTGTCACCCGGAGCTGGGGAAGCCAGCGTGCTGCAGGCTCGCCAGGAGCGTAGCCACCAAGAGCGCGGGGGCCCGACGGCCACAATGCTAATTCCTGCGTCGCAGGCTAAGATTCTTCCCGGCGCCACATTTTTGGTCCAACGCTCCTTTCCCGACATTCGAATTCCCATGTCACCGTTCCAATTCCAACTCTTAGATTCTATTTCCAATGCTAAGATTCTTTGGCTAAGCTAGGAAACCACCAGTTCTGACTCTAAAATCCTAATTTCAACGGTGAAATTGTTTCTAACACTGAGGCCGACACTCTAGGGCTAAGATTCGAGTCCAACGCGAAAATCAGTCTCTAACGTCAGGATTCGGATTCTAACCCTCAGGCTCTGACGCCGGACACCCAGCTCTGCCCAGTTCTGCCCCGACGTCCCGGCGCGGACCTCCAGCTGCCATCTAGGCAGGGGTGGGATGGAGAACTTTCCATCCTACCGACACTGGGCGCCGAGCGTTGCAGAGGCCGGGACGTGAGCGCACAGGAGTGAACGCCACCAGTGTGCCCGCACCACCAGCTGCCTCGTCCAGTGCGCGGCCCGCGCTGTGGAAGCCCCGGGAGGTATGAGCGCAGCGCCCCAGCCGGTGCGCGGGTGCCACGCTCCGGGAGGCGCTCGGGGGACAAAAGCCGCGGCTTCTTCCCGACCTCACCGAGGGCTGGTGGAGAGGGCTCCCTTTCCAGTGCTCCCGGACGCTCCTGCGGGGAGGCGAGGGAACAGAGATGGTTACCTGCCGGGCGCGAGCTCCGCGGGACCGGTCCGAGATCCTGGGGCTCCGAGTTCGGAGTTTTGGGGCCTAGAGCCGGCGGATCAGGAGGCGGGGAGCGCTGGCAGGACCCGGACCCCGCTGCCCGCTTCTCGGAGGGGCCGCTGCTTATATCTGCGCGGGGCGGAGGCGCGGGTGAGGTCAGCGGGGAGGGGTCGCGGACGCCGGGAAGGGGCGCTGACGGCAGCGGCCCCGTGGGTACCCCGCCCGCCAGCTCCCCCGGAAATCTGGGGCGGGGGCGGCGCGGGCTGCGCGGGCGGCGGGGGCGGCGGGGGCGGCGGGGGCGAAGACGAGGCGCGAGCCGGAGCCTGGGGTGCTGATGTTGGGTCTCTTCTGCACCCGGCTCCGAAGGTTTGTTGTCTAAGAGAACGCTCATGGAGAGGACAGAGGGAGGCAGAGAGACAGCGAATCACACCGTTAAAACGAGACACACAGGAGAGGATAGGAGATAGTGACAAAGACTGAAAGAGGCACACTGAGAGCAGAGACAAACACCAAAGAGACACAGGGAGAGACAGAGACAGAGAAGGAGAAAGAGAAGGGGGGAGAGGACAGAGGAAAAAAGTAGGGGACAATTGGGACTTGGGTTCTGATCTTGACTGTGTCACTTCTGGCAAATGCCTCCGGCTCCCTGGGCCTCAATTTTCTCATCTGTACAGTGGGAGAGAGGGACAGTTTTCAGAATGCCAAACCTGGTAGCCTGGGGCCACCACCTGCTCACAGATGGTTTTGTTTGACTGCCACAGTGATTTGAAAAAAAAAAAACTGAATAACTAACATTTAAAAACCAGGAAGAATTTGGGACCAAGAATTTGGCCAGCTGGAGCTGAGCCTGGTTGCCCCAGTCACCAAGGCAGGACATTGGAGTTTGTGGCCCCTGGACCAGAAAGAAGTCTGTTGGTACCCACCCCATCAAAGCAAAGGAGAGGGGATGTAGGGAGGAGAAAAGCATGGATGATAAGGCTCTTGTTCCTCAGTCAGTCCCCAAAATCACATTGGAAGAGAACACTGCCACATCTAGTCCTGAGTACAGCCTCCATCCTGAAACACTTAAGGGGAACCCACAGTGTGCCAGGCTCCTTGGTCAGCCTCAGACACAGAAGTTAGTCAGGCCTACTTAGAGGGAACTACATTTTAGGTGAGGGAACATCAGTGAAGTCATCTCCTACCTCTAGACCATCTCAACATTAGTCTGCCTCCCCATACGATATTTCTTCAGCCTCCCATTTTATTTTATTTTAGTTATTTTTTTATTTAAAATCATTTTTAATGTTTTACATATTTTAGAAAGAGAGAGAGACAGAATGTGAGCAGGGGATGTTCAGAAAGAGAGGGAGACACAGAATCTGAAGCAGGCTCCAGGCTCTCAGCAAAGAGACTGATGCAGGGCTCGAACTCACCAACTGGAAGATCATGACCCCAGCCAAAGTTGGGCACTTAACTGACTGAACCACCCAGGTGCCCCCAGCCTCACATTTTAATTGAGTACATGTTGAATGCCCCCAGCCATGCTGGGGGTCTGGAAAGAGATTCCAAAAATGTTCAATTATCACTCCTTCCCTTGGCATTGCACCCAACTTTCTACCATATCACCACAAACTCACATCACCTGGCAAGATAAACAAAGTAGAGACTATTAATCACACTTTATTTATTTATTTTATTTATTTTATTTTTTTTCAACTTTTTTTTTAATTTATTTTGGGACAGAGAGAGACAGAGCATGAACGGGGGAGGGGCAGAGAGAGAGGGAGACACAGAATCGGAAACAGGCTCCAGGCTCTGAGCCGTCAGCCCAGAGCCCGACGCGGGGCTCGAACTCACGGACCGCGAGATCGTGACCTGAGCTGAAGTCGGACGCTTAACCGACTGCGCCACCCAGGCGCCCCTATTAGTCACACTTTATAGACAAAGACGCAGAGGTTTGGGGAGGCAGAAGGACTTGGAACATAAGAGGTGGGAGGGAACTTTCAGATTCCCAGCTAGAGTCCTCTCCTCACTTTTAGACGAGGAAACCGAGGCCCACAGAGATGACCTGATCTGCTTCCTGACTCCCCTGCACGCCCAGAGTCAGAAAGTTGGCTGGTGTAGACTACAAACCTGAAACCTGCTTCATCTCCCAGCCAGACTCCAGGATTTGAAGACTCGCCATCCATACTAAGCATTAAATCAGACAGACAGACAGACAGACCTATTATCTTTCACACATAAGGAAAAGGTGTAAATTGGTAGAATCTCTATGGGTGGTAACCTGAAAATGTAACACATATGTACCTTCCACAAGACATCCCACAGACACCCATACCTGTGCACAAGGATGTATGCACAGACCATTTGGTGCAGCATAGTTATTAGAAGCCAGAATTGGAAACAGCCTGGATGTCTGTTCATCATGAGGTGTCTGCTTAAATCAACTAGGACCCAACTAAAACTATGGGTATTATATTCTGACTTTGAAGAATGAGGCAGTTCCCTATGTACAGATGTGGAATAAGCTCCAGGACATATTGTTACATGAGAAAAAGCGGAGCAGAGAACAATGTGTACATCATGTGCACGCATGTGATGGCGCGGGAGATGAACTGTTATGCTCTTCCGCAGAGTGTCTCTCTGGAGGGATGGGTGAGAACAGTGCAGATAGGGAACAGGGAGCTGGGGAAGGGAAGGCCAGTGGTCCGGGGCTTGCTTTTCACGGTGCTGCTTGAATTTTCTCTCTTTGCATCATTACCTATCTACAAACCAACAAGCAGCACCAACAAAACAAAACAACAGAATGTCATCTGAGGCATAAAAGGAGTGATAAGTGTGGATGGATAGAAAAACTGCCTGGTAGAGGGTGAGCCGGCTGGAACATCGCCCCCTGGTGAGCCCATTTGACGTGTTTCTATAATCAGGGATTTGAGTTGTCTGTTAGGAGGACGGTTCCTGGAGGGCTGGGAAGGGGAGGGGACAGGAGAGTTCTCACATTGCCCAAGGGACTAGAGAGGATGGTACAGGCATCTGATCGTCCTTTCCTCTGTTTGTCCTTTCCTCTCTTCCTTTCCTTCCCTCAGCAAATATTCATTGAACCCCTAGAAAGTACCAGGACCTATTCTGGATCTTGGGCACTGTGTCAACTTGCGTTTCTGATGCTTTGACCTGGGGGGGGGGGGGGGGGGGAGGGGCGGGGGGGGGGTTTCTGGCTGACTCTGGGGAAAGGGCCTCTCCCAGGATTAGCCAATTCTTAGAGATGATAAGGGACTCACCTGGGAACACCTTTCATAGGCAAACTAACCAATCCAGAGCCCACACCCCCACCCCCCGGGGCTGCTGCCTCCTTGTCCTTATCACCCTAAGCCAAGTACGGGACAGCTACAGTTACAGATTGCCCCTAAACCCCAGAGCCACTGAAGTTATTCAAACCAGCCAATCCTAAACCTGTTTACCCTGCCTCCCCATTCCTTTGTTCCTTCGTTCCCTCAGGCAGAAACAACAATTAAGGCACTGGTCCACCTTCCACCTTTCCCCTACCCCCTGCTTCCTCTGCCTCCTTACTACTGGATCCTGGTGCGACCAGGATCCGGCCAAGCAAAAAGGATCCTGCTCTGGTCTCTCACTGAGCTGACAGTCCAGTCGTTATGTCGCACATATTTTTCTCACTTGCTTTTATTTTTTCTCTAACAATACAAGTGTGCTTGATTTTCAAGGCTGTAATTGCTTATCAGATTAAGACAGCTATGCTTTTGAAAATGAATAATGGGATAGTTTAATGGTGAGTTTGTACATTAATTTGTAACTCCCAGTGCCTGCCCACCCACCCCTACCCCAACACACACACACCCCCCCCCCCCCCCCCCCCCCCCCCCCACCACAGACACCTTCCTACAGGAGGTCTGTTGAGTCTCAGGGTGGGTTCTGATTTTCCAGACTCTGTCTTCCCTAATTTCCCGTCTTCTCCTTCAAAGTCTCTTTGCTCCCTGTTCAAGGATGTCTCCTATATATTTTAGGGTCTTTTTCAACTCTGAGCTATATAGAAGGGCCTGAAGTAGGCCCATCTCAATTATGTATTAATATTTTTTACATAGTGGTTTCCTAAATTAAACTTTTTATTTTGAGATAATTGTAGATTCAGATGCAGCTCTAAGAAATAATACAAAGAGGCTGTGGGTACCCTTTGCCCAACTTCTTTTAATGGTTGCCTCTTGTAAAACTATATAGTACAAAGTCACAACCAGGATACTGACATTGATACAATCCACTGATCTTATTCAGATTTCCCCAGTTTTACTTGTACTCATTTGTGAGTGTATGCACTTAGTTCCACGCAATTTTATCACACGTGTAGGTTTGAGTGTGGATATAGACTCAATTCTTTCCTTTATATTCTGTTTTTGCTGTCAAAACAATGAAGGTCTTCTTTTCCTCAAGATCATAAAAATTCCAGGAAGAAAAATCCATTTAGTGTCTGCTTTTTCTCCATAGAAACTCATTCCAGAAATATTTCTAATCCATATTTCCCTTTACCCTTTCCATTGGAAATTTTTGACCCAACTGAGTGACAATTCCTTGATGATGAATTCACTGGAAACTTTTCAGTTCTCATTTCAATCACTGATTTATTTTTTTATTCAATGAATAGTTCCAGTATACACACAGGTGTCAGGCATAGGCCTGGCCACACCATGGGTGCAGAAGGGCAGGGGGTGCAGGGATGTACAAGGTAAGAGACAGGTGGGAAGCAGTCAGATCTCACGGGGCTTTATTGGCTCTACAGAGTAAGGAGTTTGGAATTTATTCTCAAGGCAGTGGGGAAATAGAGGGGTTAAAGCAGGGGAGAGATGTGACCTGATTTGTTCTCTAACCATCCATCTGGCTGCTTGGTGAATTATAAGCTTATGGGCGGCAAGAGGGAAGCAGCAAAGCCAGTGAGGAACCTCCATGAAACCCTTGCTCCTTTGTGAAACTCTTCTGCCTGTCTCATCGGGTTGTTCTCTTCTGCTTTCGGGCTCTCCTTCTGCTATGCTTGGCTGTGGAGTGGGCCCCACTGAGCCCAGTGTGTGTCTGCAGTCACCCCAAGCACCATCCCCAGGCCACCTCATCTTCACTTCACCAGGCCACATGCTGGTGCCTCCCAAATCAGCTTCTCCACAGAAAACTATGTGGCCCTCAGAAAGAAAGAGCCCCTCCCAGGGCAATCCTCTCCTGCAAGCAAGAGAAAATACAACCCAAACTGGCTCAGGCAAAATAAAAGGCAGATGTAC